TGGTGTATTCCATATGTTTTGTTATGTCTTGCCTTCATTTGCATTCATCTTAAAATATTTTCCAATATCCTGTGATTTCTTTATTGATCCACTGGTTGTTTTGGAATGCGTCATTTCATTTCCAAATATTTGTGAATTTCTCAAATAACTTTCTGTTATTGATTGCTAATTTTATTCCATTGAGATCAGAGAACATACTTTGTATGGCTTCAGTCCTTTCAAATTTATTGAGGTTTGTTTTATGGCCTAGCATATGGTTTATCTTTGAGAATGTTCCATGTGCTCTTAAGAAGAATGTGTATTTTGGTGGTGTTGGGTACAGTGTACCATATATTTATTAGGTCTAAGTTGGCTTGTGGCTTTGTTTAGGTCTTCTCTTTCCATGTTTGTCTTGTAGTTGTTTTATTCATTTTTTAAAGTGCAGTATTAAAGTCTGTTCCTATTATGGACTTATGTATTTCTCTCTTCAACTCTGTTGGTTTTTGCTTCCTGTATTTTGGGGCTGTTTTGTCAGGACATGTATTTGTAATTGCTATGTCTTCCTGAAGGACTGACCCTTTCATCATAAAATGTCACTATTGAAGTCTAGGAAATGTTTTTGTTTTAATGTCTATTTTGTTTGATATTATAGCCACTCCTGATTTTTTATATTTACTGTCAACATAATGTCTTATTCTATCTTTTCACTTTTAATCTATTTGTATCTTTTATTCTAAAGTGTATGTTATGTAGAGAATATATAGTTAGAACTTGTTTTTCATCCTGTTTTACAGTTGCTGCTTTTTATTTATATGTTTAATACCACCAATTTAATGTTTTTTTGATGTAGTTGAATTTATGTCTGCCATTTTATTCTTTATTTTTATGTCTCATGTCTTTTTGTTGCTTTATTCTTTCTTTTACTTTTTTGTATTAAGTGAATATTTTCTAGTATAATGTTTTAATTTCTTTAATTTTTTATTTAAATATAATATTTATTTTAAAATATAAACAATTTAGTATTTAAAATTTCTTTCTTAGCATTGTTCTTAGAACCATATCAAGTATATCTTAACTTATTAGAATATACTTCAGATTTATACTAACTTGATTCTGGTGAGATACAGAAATGTTGCTCCTATATAGCTTTTTTCTCCTTTTTATCTTTCTTTGTGGTAGTATTGTTATACATATAGCATATACGTATGTCACAAACTCAACCTTATATAGTTATACTTATTACTTTATATGATTTTATGTTTTTAAAAGAGACTGATAGTAGAAAGGAGACCAAATATATAAGGGTTTGTTATGTCAATGTTATTGAATATTTCTGAGTGTTTTTTCATTTGTTCTTATGGATATGAGGTAACATTTCATGTCATTTCCTTACTTCAACATAGCTTTGCTTCAATCCTTCTGTGCTGTTATTGTCAAATATATTACATTTGTACCATATTACAGCAATGTAAATGATATTGCTATATAAACAATTATATATGTATGATTTTATAAAAATTGCTTTTCAAATTTATTAGGAAAAGACATGAGAAGAAATATGTATTTGTACTTTGTTTTATAATTACATAGTTGCCTTTGCTAGCTTCTGGATTTGAATAGCTAGTCTAAGACTGAATAACTTCCTTTAGTATCTTGTAAGGCAGATCTGCTACCAACAAATTTATTCGTTTTTGTTGATTTGGCAGTGTCTTTATTTTGCCTTCATGTTTGAAAGATAGCTTTGTGTTTATAACATTCTTGGTTGAAATTTCTTCTTCATTCAGCACTTCAGATTGTTGTTTTTGATGAGAAGTCAGCTGTTAATCTTATTGGGGTTCCCTTGTGTGTGAAAAGCTCTTGGCCTTCAACATTTTTACTATTATATATCTGAGTATGGACTTTTCTGTTTTTTCTTTTTATTTCGTACTCGGTGTTCATTGAGCTTCTTGAATATGTAGATAAACTTTTTTTATAAAATTTGATTTGGAAAATTGTGAGCTATTATTTTTTGAAAACTTTTTTTTCACTTCTTTCTTTCTCTCTTCTGTATTTGTAGTTCCTGTACATGTATGGTGGCACACTTAATGGTGTTCCACATTTCTCAGAAGTTCCATTTATTTTTCTCTCTGGTCTTCAGATTGCATAATCTGTACTGCTCTATCTTCAAGTTCACTGATTCTTCTGTCTGCACAAGTCTACTGTTGAACTTCTGTAGTAAAATTTTTTAATTCCAATTTTACTTTTTAACTTCAGAATTTCCATTTTTTAAAATTACTATCTCTTTGTTGATATTTTATGTTTGATAAGACATTGTCATATTTTCTTTTACTTCTTCCAACACTGTTTTTTAAAAATCTTCGAACATATTTGTAATAGCTGCTTTGAAGTCTTTTTCACTATATCTGACATATGGGACCTCTCAAAGGCAGTTTCTGTTGACTGCTTTTTTCCATGTATATGGGTCACTCTTTTCTATTCCTCTGCATGTCATAATTTTTCATGAAAACAAGACATTTTAGATAATATATTGTAGCAATGCTGGATCCTGTTTTTTTTTTTTTTTTTTCCTTTTTGTCTTTTTCCGTGTCCGGCAACGGATCGCAACCCTCAGTGTTGCCCCCGTACCAGACTGGAACCAGCAACGGGATCGCAACCCTCGGCGTTGCTCCCGTGCCTCGCTCAGCCAGCGAGTGGGAACTGTTCTGTATGTGGGATCCGAACCCTCGGCGGGAGCGCCACCACGCTTGCAAGCGGCGCACTATAGCAGTGCGCCACCGGGCTGGCCCCTGGATCCTGGTTTTTTCTAGTTCTCCAGACCTTATTGATATTTTATTTGTTCAGTGGCTGGACTGTTTTAATGCATTCTCTAACACTGCTCTTTGGAGAGTGCAGCCTGGGGATGCACACATTTACTGTGGGGTGTCAGTAGTGTTAGCAGGGTCTTTTTTACTTTTTCTCTGAGCTCCCTGTTAACTTGTTTGCCTCTGTTCTAGCTGTTGACCTCCACTAATTGCTGACTGACTGCCCTATCGTTTTCAACAATCTTCTCTGGCATAAATTGCTCCACAGTCTGATTGAATTCCCTTTAGGCTTCTTATTGGAGTTGTCTTTGATGTTTGTTCTGATCCCAGGAGGGATTTTATTAACTCTCTTTTTCCCTGATCTCTCTGGTAAATTCCTAGGTGGGCTGTACTTTAGCTTATTGTTCTCATGAAACTAACAGCTGTCCCTTAATTGCTTACAAGCCAAATAGCCATTGGTTTTGAGAGTGCCCTTAGGTATGAACTTTCTCATTCTCCAAATAAAGTCTGTTTCTTTGAGAGAGCTTTGGAGCTGTTTTCTTAGTCTGCCTCTCCTTCTGGGTAAAACCTCTGTGCCATTGCTTGGGAGTTCTAGGTGGGTAGGCTTAGTGTGTGCTCCTCTTGGAGTGACACCAAAGGTTTTTGTGAAGGGCCTTAGATGGAGACAGTAGCCTCTGATCTTCTCAGCTTGCCTCTTTCAGCATAGAACTTCTGCCTTGTGGGTGAGATGGAGTGAAGACTATTGGGCCCTGCGTTCTTAGTCTGCTGGGTTTGCTGTATAGCTCTCATCTTATAAGTGGGGACTGGATAGAGGAAGAGCACCCAGATTTCTCATGCTCTTTCCCAGAATAGAGCTTCTGTAACCCAGAGCTGGGGAGGGTGAGAAGTGCTGCAAGCCTGCCACTCCAAGTGTGATGTCACTGGCCTGGACTGAGAGCTGAGGGATGAAGGAGCCTTGTGTTCTTGGCTTTACTGACCTAGGGTAGAACTTATGTCATGCTATACTCTTGTTAAGTATGGATGTGATGCCATGGACTATTGCTCTTCTAACTGAAATTTAGTAGATATTCTTAAGTAAATATTTCTTCATTTGCTATTGCTCTTAGTAAAATTTTCCAAGACCTTAGATGATTGTGTTTTTTTTTATAATTGTTGTCAACTGTAGTTCTTTCTCTGGGTAGAGTGTTTGTGAAACTCTTCATATTATCATTCTGGACATCAGCTTCATATTCTTTAGTATTAATTGGTAATATAATACATGGTTTTACAGATACTGCATAAACCATACTAACTATACTATATACTATGTTTACATTCTAATTCTTTGTACCTGGGATTTATTTAGAGTAGTTATAAGATGCTGATTCATATTGTCATGCACCTTTATTTATACCCATTCATTCAGATCATTATAATTGTGAACATATATTTATAGTATTTTCTCTTAGAGTTATGCTTTAATTAAAAGAACATTTATATTTATTTTAATGCTTCTCAAAAATGCATTGTAATTGTAATTTTTAATTACACACAAAAATATGGATGTATCTCAGAAACAATTTTGAGTGAAAGAACCAACATACAAACGAATACAGTCTATATGATTCTACTTATGTAGAGTACAAAAACAGCAAAACAAATCTATGCTGTTTGAATCAGAATAGTGGTAATGTTTTCGTTTTTATTTTTGGTCTTGATGCTGGTTACTTAGTTCTGTTCATCTTGCAAAAATTCTTTAGTTTTCAACTTATGTGCACTTTTTTGTGCACTTTTATGCATGTTATATGTAAATTAAAAATTAAAAACTTTATTATGAAGTTCATACGAGTTATACAAATATAGTTTTAGTCAAATGCAATTCAGAGTAAATTCACTATATTTAAATTTTTACTTATTTTAAAATGTTTGGAACTCTACTTTTAAGAAGACTTGTTTCCTACCTTTATAAATGAAAAAGTAATTCAAAATATAAATTATTATTAGTATTAACAATTCTGTTTGATATTGTGTTCCCTAAAGGCATTTTAAGATACTGTGAATTTCAAAATTTTTTAAAATATTGAAGTTTGGAAATTATTTATAAGTTTTTTAAAAAAAACGTCCCCCCCCCCACAATTCCAGGGAAAATTCTATATGCAAATTAGATCCTATATATAATATATATAAAATCAGGGAGGTCTTTTTATCTTTTGTAATACATTTTTAAATTTTATTCTGTAGGACTATTTTGAAAGAGAGTGGGTTTGCCAGATACCTTCATTCAGCTGTTCTTATCAATGGAGCTATGCTTATTTTTGGAGGAAATACCCATAATGACACTTCCTTGAGTAACGGTGCAAAATGTTTTTCTGCCGATTTCCTGGCATATGACATAGGTATGTATCTGTTAGGATTGTACAAAGTAGGAAATATCAGAAATTTTCCATACAGAGATTCTCAAATACATTAATTGATAGTATGTGTATATGTCATTTTAGAGATAAATTCAGTGATAGACTATGAATAGAATTCTCTCTAATTTCAGCATAGTATTGATGTAGAGCCAGGAGAACAGAAGAACTTGGGTGAGTTAATTGGGGAGACTGGGTAATAGAGAAATCTAGGTTTGAATGTCCTCTTGGAAGGAAAAGGGAAGCCTTTTGTATATTGTATCTGTACACAAGCACTGTATCAGTCTATATTGTGTTTGTTACTGTCTTAGTTTTGATAATAGGTAGATATGGAGTACTGTAAAATTATGTAAATTACAAATAGTAGGAATCTAAACATTTTAGATTTAGTAGGGATGTGTAAAAATGCATTTATGTAAAACACATCAGATATACTTACTGAGTACAGGAATCTGATAGAACTAGAGAAAAGAATATAGATAAAGTAGAGCTTAAGAAATAGGATTTTGAGACAAAATGGAAACCCAGAATGTACCTAGGAATGGAAGCAACTAAATAAGAATTTGTTTCCCAGAGAACCACAAATAACAGTCCATTTATACAATTCACTTAATTTTAGTGATGCTAACTATAGTTCTGTTGATTTCTGAATATTTAAGTGAATGTATTTACTGAAATACTAAACTTAGCTATTGAGTAGACCATTGTGGTTAAAATACTGTTTCTTTATGTATTATATTATAGATAAAACCTAGCTTATACTTAAAATATATTTTTAAGTACTTTTAAGCAGTACTTAAGAGTACCTTTTATTAATGGTGTAAATAAAGCAATATAACAAATTCAAAGCTATTAGGAAACATTTTGTTAAATAAAAATAAAAGAATCAGAGAATAACACATTTAATAGAGGTAAGAAGTTTACTTTCATTCTTAAACACATAAAGGCACGTAGTCTGCTTTGGTAAATTATTTCAAGTCGCACTATGTAAAAATTTTTGATCTTTATGCTGTTATAAGTTTGCTTGGAAGAAAATTCCCAGTGATACAGTTAATCATGCTTTTTAACTCTAAGTTATGAGTGTAAATCTGTGATTAATCAGTGGATCTTGAATAATTAAATCTTCACCTTTTTGAGATAATAATTTTAAAGTCATGACTCATAATGAACACGGGATTGTCTCAGCTTTTAGGAAGCTCATAAATCATTGCCTGAGGCCCAGAAAAATGGGCTGAGTGAAGTGCTGAATCTAGGCTGGCAGTGACCTTATTATAATCTGTCATTGTCAAGCTGGGTTTGTCAATATATTGTTTTGGCTATGGTGATGACACAGTGTTTGGCATATTTTTCTGGAAGTAGGTGAAGTTTTATTTGTTGATTCATTTTTCTTCTGGGAAAAAAATACAAGAAGAAAGTGCAGAATTTTGTTATTATAGTTAAAAATGAACAAAGTGAGATTTTGAACTTTTGCAAAAGAGTTTTCAAGAAGTTTCCACAAAATGTCTGGACTTTGACGAAGAATTTAAGATTGAGGTATTTTGTAGCTGACATGTTGCGAATTCACTTTTATTTCCTCCATATTGCTGAAGTTTGTGATACTTAAGTTTTTATGTATCAAAAAAGCTTATTAAGGTGAAAAAGTGTTAGAGGATTATGTTTCAGAAAGAGAGATCGGATTATTATTATTTTCATTACTGCTATTTATTAAATTTCCTCTAAGTGCTAGGTACTATGCTAGAGGATTTATACACAAAATCTGTAAACTCTCTACTAACCTTGTAACAGGTATTGTTATCCTTATTTTCAGAATATTAAACAGACAAGAGAACAGGAAATTGTCCAAAGTCATGCAGTAAGTGGCAGATCTAGCTTTGTAACTCCTAAATTTATGGTAGTCTTTCTATACCATTTTGATAGGTTGGATCCATTGTATGTTAATTTTGTCAACAAATTATCAGACACCTTATGTTTAGTAATACTTGTTTGTGAATGCTGTGGAAAGGTGGAAGCGAATATCACTTTCAGTTTTTCAAGCAAATCATTCAGACTGAAGGAAGTATAATATGTTTTAAATAGTTTTACATTTTAACATAGGATTTTTTCCCCCTGTGCTAACACTGACAATGAAAGCATAAAGGAAACTATGCAATTCAACATAGGATATAAGTGTTTTGTCTTATCTCATTTGATTATTTGTATGTAGTTCCCCAAAAAGTTCCCCCTAATCTGTATTTATCCTTCTGGGTTTGCAGCATCAAATGTGGGAATATTTTCCTGGGAAAAAGTATTTTTATTTTATTTTGTCTTTCAAAATAATTGTTTTCCTTATGGTGTATGCTTTTGTGGAAATAAAAGCATTGCGTAATGAACTAAACAGAAAATAGATCTTTTTTGAAAAAAAAAAAAAAAGTCATGTTGCTATTTTTCTCTTCAGTATGGTAAACTAGGACTTTTGGTATATTTAACTGGAATGTACCTGAAGACTTAGCTGATTGTTTTGTGTTATACACTGTTTAAGCAAGTTAAGCATATTGTGTGAATCCCAATTTTTTATTGTCGTAAAATGTGTTATTTTAATCTTACTGCCATAGTAAATTTTATACAGCAAATATCATTAATCTTTGAGAATATTACCTTTCCTTCACAGTTCTCATTATATTACGCATGATAGATGTAGAAGGCATATGCTGGTGATTTCAAACATGGCTGTACCTTGGCATCCCCTTTGAAGGTTGTTGGGGAAGAAACCAGACCCATGTAATCAAATTCTTTGAGATTAAGCACTGAGCATTTATACTTTCAAAAAGTGACTGGGGTGCAACTGATAGAACCAGGACTGGTGAATAAGATTGGATTGGCCATAACACGTAGCATGACACATTACTTAATGATCTGGTTTGTAAATCTAGCTTGAAGTCAGATTTTAGAATCTGAAAACTTTATTAGTTTTTTTTGTTATTGTTTGTGGTATTATTGCTTTCAGAAAGCCACCATGACACCTTCTTCAAGATTAAAAAGATCTTCCTAGTAAAGATAGCCTTCTATTTAGAATTCAGATATAAGATGAAAGTCAACTTATTAATCATATGTTTTCTTTCTTTTTTTTTTTTTTTGTCTTTTTCCGTGTCCGGCAACGGATCGCAACCCTCAGTGTCGCCCCCGCACCGGACCGGGACCGGCAACGGGACCGCAACCCTCGGTGTTGCTCCCGTGCCTCGCTCAGCCAGTGAGCAGGAACCGGTCTGTATGTGGGATCTGAACCCTCGGGCGGGAGCGCCGCCGCGCTTCCCAAGCAGCGCACTATCCAGTGCGCCACCAGGCCGGCCCTAATCATATGTTTTCTTAAAAAAGATAAAAGATAATAGAAACATGAAAATGTAATTTCCTGAGTTAGACTATTTCAGTATTGAGTAAGGAGTAAGATTTGTATAAGAAATATATTTTGCAGAAAGCAGACTTGCCAAACTTCAAATCAGATTGAAAAAATAAGTTTTAAAAATAAATTCCCCGAATGTGATGATTTTACTTATGACATTAATTTTTTGGTAGATGAGTATTTAAAAACAAAATAATAAAAAGAAGTTTCATATTTGAGGAAATAATATTAATTTGGTAAGGCATAACAAAGTGTATGCTTAACCATTTTATAAAAGTGAAGTTATAGTTCAGTTGTACCCATAAAAAATCACTTTACTGGTTTATGAAGCATAGCATACATGATTTTATACAACTCTGAGGAGTGATTTATATATATATACACATATAAAATGTATACAATTATATGAGACATATAACTTCATAGTGGAATCATATTCAAATTAAAACATCTAATTATTTAATTTTTTGGAACACTCCAGCAAAATTATGAAAATTCCAACTTGCTTGCTTTTTATGTTTATAATTATTTTTATTTTCTGGAGGTTATTTTATTAGTTCCTCTCTCTGTTAATCAATATTTCTCTATGTTCTTCACTAACTTTTTAGGGCTCTTCCTTAATGAAAGCAGCACCATTTGCTAGGCACCTGAAAGTATCAGTATGTTTTTTTGTAGGTCAGGAAAAACCTTAAAATCATTCACACATTTTTTTTTACAATGAATTCAGCCACCTGTTGACTGTTTTAAGCTTTATTGTATCCTTTGCTCAAGGTGTATTTTTTTCTGTCTCTGGGATTCTATAGAAGAAATTGTAGTTTCTTCTTTTTAAAAAAATAAGTGACAGAAAAATGACTTTTCATTTTGAGAAAAGGGAGAACTAACATTCGTCTAATGTTTCCTATAATGCTTGGCACTTTACACATGCTTTATAATCTAATTGTTGCACCATCTTATAATATCTGAGTAGTGTGTATTATTATATTCAATTTATAGAGGGAAGATGCTGTGATTTACCACAGTTAAACCCAAAGTCACACAGGTGGTAAGATCGTGTATTCAGAACTTGAATACAAGGCTAATTTCAAAGTTCTTTTGATTCTACCACCACACCATGATACTAAATTTTTCCTGATTTGACAGGAAAAATTTTGAATGATATTTTATTTGGGAAGAAGGCATATGATATTTGTAAGTGTAAAAAGACATTCAAGAAATAGTTTATTTCTTGAATTTAATCAAATTTTTAAGGTATATTTGTATTTTATTGTGCCCTTTCCTCTCCCACAAATTGTTCAAAAAATAGTGACCTCATGATAGAAATTCAAGGAGAAAGGAGTAATGAATGATGAATCTCTTTCTTAAAAAGCCTACAAATATTTTGAGAGATTATTTTGAAAAAAAATTGCTAAATGAAAATTCTTTAAAGAAAATATACATTGAAAGAAAAGTTTTTAAGGGTCTGGACAAAATCTCTGGAGGAAGAAGGCAGGGGAAAGCAGTCATGAATACAGAATCAAAAATTTCAAATAAAATATTAGCAAATAGAATCCAATGCAATTTCAAAAATATAATAAATTATGACCAAGTAGGATTTGTTCTAGGAATTCAA